TCTACCTCACAGTGCTGTTGGACGTACAAGGAAATGTTGCTTCCCACCCATAATTCACTGGCTTGGAGATGGAGTATAACCTGCCTTCATAATGATGCTAAATATGTCTATAAATGGTGCCTTAATTGGATGAACGGGCCACATTTGACACTTCCTACATTTGGACCATTCACGCATGCAAAAATAAAGACTAAAATATATTGCTGACATCATTAGTGGAACATCCTATATCACCTTCAAATAGATACAAAGCCATATGGAGACTTGTAGTAGGATACCATGCTATGGCTGTGGTGTGTACATGTGTATGTTCCTGCACATGCAATTGCATGTGTGAAGGTGGAGAGAATTAACTTATTCATGTGGAATGGCAGAGGGGTTAGAAGTTCAGAAACTGACTTTTAAAGAAGTAATTGTTTCCATTGCTTGTTGTGGGATTGGGAAAAAAACAATTTTATTTATTTATTTATTTATTTTTTGGTAAAAGTTTGTATTGGAGGGAAAAAGAAAAATTGTTGTGATTACTTATTATATATATTTTTAAAAGTCACTCATGACATTTCATATTATTTTTGTTACTTTCTTGAAAAAAGTATATAGTGTGCCCTTGCTATCTGTTGGGTTTGGTGGATACCAAAATCAGTGGATGTTTAAGTCCCATTAAATACAATGGCATAGTAAAATAGTGTCTCTCATATAAAACAGCAACATCAAAGTTTGTTTTGGGGAATATATATATATATATATATATATATATATATAATATTTTCAAGCTGTGGATGCTTGAATCCGTGGATAAGAAATCTGTGCATACACAGGGCTGACTGTATTAGGCTACTAGAGAACAGCACAAAATTTGAAGAATTTCACTCAGAATGCCTCTAAAATGTTTTAATGTGATTTGAAAAGAAATGAGAAAACCCCACTTCTTATATATACACACACCCTATCCTATCCACTTGTTACAATCCTGGGCTCATCCAAGTGATTAGGATTGGAAATAGTTACCGCACTGGTCTTGGTTGTATTTTGCGCCTTTCCCTGTTTATCAAATATTCTTGGCCACAACAGTCGTCCAGTCCCAAAGAGAAAAGAAAACTCCTTGAGACCTTGGCAAAGAAATTATGCTGCATAAAATCCTACTTCATATACTTAGCCATACAGACCTACCAGTCATTCTCCTAACTTCTACACACATCCACGCTTCCCCCTCTTCTTCCTGGTGGGAGCAATTATTAATTAGTTAATTCGTTAATAAAGAATTACAAACCAGTCTTGGTTCTGTCATAGAATAAATGGCAAAAGTTAAAAGCAATGTTCCTCCCTCTTCTTCATATGAGTTAACATTCACTTCTATCCTGGACAGGTATATAAATTGAATTTCTCATCCACGCATTCAGGATAATTAATGGGTGGTGGAAGTTCTCTTCCTTTTCTTATTCCTGTGTTATTCTGGGAATATGGTGCCTGTGTAATTAAATTAGTTTTTATGATTATTAATCAAGTTTCTAATTCCTGATACCATATTTGTATCAATATTTGACTAAGAAGAAAATGTGCTCCTTTTATCAACAGATTTTAACTACTCAAGACTAAAAATAATTGAATTGTTTGGTGAGTTTGGGAAACAGCTGTGCACATCAGATGTCTTCATATTCACCTTGGATCCCATTTTGGGAGAAAGGTGGGATATAAATTCCATAAATAAATAAATAAATAAATATCCAACAATTATTTGTTATAATCCACAGAAAAAAAGGGCCAAGAAGAACGGATTTTAAAGAGAAGCACAAACAACTTAATTGAATAACTGCTGTTGTTATATGCCTTCTAGTTGACTCTGACTTATGGGGACCCCAATGTTTCCATGACTCAAGTCAGAAACGCACTGCAGAGATAATCCAGTTTGAGACTACTTTAACTGCCCTGGCTCAATGCTAGGGAATTTTGGGAACTGTACTTTTGTAAGACATTTAACCTTCTCTGTCAGAGAGCTCTGGTGCCACAAGAAACTACAATTGCCAGAATTCCATAGCATTGGGCCATGCAAGTTAAAGCGCTCTCACACTGGATTATTTCTGCAATGTGTTTTGGACCCAAGTGGGGATTTAAATCTTGGTCTCGTATACAATTATTTTATTTTAATTTTATTTACTTATATCCCACTTTCCTCCCAATATAGGGACTACAGGCAGTACCAAGACTCAAGACTCCAACGACAATACAACATTGGCTTTCTAACTGATTTATTATCCCCTGGTTATTGATATAGACATATGCAAACCTAGGTGATATAAGGTCTCACTTCCTCCTCCTCCTCCTCCTCTGTTTCTCCCACAGACCATGCTAGCACTAGGCTTGTCTCCTAAAGAGGCCACACTGGACAGTGTCCCAAGTCTCTTTATCCCAAGAGACGGTCAGCTGGCAGGACCTTCAGGCAGCTGCCAGGGACCACAGTGTCCTGCCAAGGCCGCTATTGTACTGACATTTTTGTCCTGACCCCTCTACAATGGGCAGATGCTTCTGCGATACTATTTAAATTCCCATAAAGCCCCATTGCTGGGGGTCCCGGGGGGGACACCAAGGTGTATTCTGTAGGACTCCCCCAGTTCACCTACCCACTCACCCACCAGTCTCTTACTTTAGGCTGTAATGGGCTCTGGCATCCATAAACAAAGAAAGCATGTAGCATTGGGAGCTGAGGCTTGGAAGTATGGAGGAAGGTTCAACCTGCTCCCTGATTTTGCTTCCATTGGATCTTTTGAACTAGGAACTTGCCCAGTTCTGCAAAGAGAACAGATGGAAGGAACCAAAGGGAATAACAAAGGTGGAGTTAGGTATGAGCAGAACATGAGGATGCAAGGAGTTCAGTGGGCTCTTGGTATCGGCTGGGGTTTGGTTCCAGGACCCTCCGTGGATACCAAAATCCGTGGATGTTCAAGTCCTTTTTAATACAGTGGATAGTAAAATGGTGTCCCTTTTTTTTTTTTTTAAATGACAAAATTAAGGTTTGCTTTTTGGAATTTATATATGTTTTGAATATTTTCAAGCCATGGATGCTTAAATTTGTGAATAAAGAATCCACGGTTACGGCGGGACAACTGTAATAACTGGGTGATATTTCACAGTCACAATATGACCATGGGAATGTAAGACTTGCCTTGTTGGGTCTAACCAAGGTCCCAACTAGTCCATCATTCTCTTTCCAGATGATTTTGGGTTCACAAGAAGTCCACAGAGAGGATGGTCCTTCTGTAAAGCCTTGCCTCAGCTTCTTTTATTCAGAGACATACTGCCTCTCAAGACAGAGGTCCTCAGGGTGGGCCCTACTATTAGGCAGAGTGGTGCAACTGATTCAGGTGACAGATGCAAGGGGAAGCAGTAGACATCGCCTGGTTCTTCCTCCTGAGCCACCCTAGGCAGTCTCCACTGCTGGGGAAACACCACTGTGTACATGTAGGGCTGCCAGGTCAACAGCTATCCAAAGCCTTCAGATTTCAGAGTCAAAACCTGAGACCTAGAGATGATTTCTTCTGATGTGAACAGGAGATAGGACCTGGCATTGTTACAATGATGATGTTACAAGATGCATCTACTCATAGCATCATTAAGCATGTTATGTTAAACATCAACCACAATTGCACACAGTATTCCATTCAAATAAAAAGTCTAACGAATGAGGAAAGTATATATACCTGTGTTTTTTAAGGCAGCACTCTTGACCTGAGATTTCTTCTCCCCACCCCAGGACTGGAGAACATAGGGCCAAGGCCTTGTGATCTAGGAACCCTACAAACACTGGATAGCCCCAAATATAACAAAGATAATTAGAAAGATATAAAATAATACACCTAAAAACATATTATGTGATAAAACCATTAAAATCATTCCTATAATCAGGGCATACCTAGGAGTGTCCCGACAGAAGGACTTCCAGCCTCTGTTTAAAATCCTCCAAAAGAGACTCCACCACTTTCTGAGGAAGTCTTTTCCACCATCCCACAGCTCTGTCTGTCAGGAAGTACAATCAGCCCTCCACATTTGCAGTTTTGACTTTTGTGAATTTGATTATTTGAGGTTTTGATTAATATGTCCTCTCTAGGAATCTCTAGGTCCTCCAGTGCAACTCCGCCAGAAGTTGACCACAGAGTTGTGCTGGAAAACTTAAAAGTTTCTAGAGAAAACACTTCTCTAGGCATTCGTACACCCTCAAGCATGACTCTATGGCCTTGTTCCCACTATGATTTAAAATGAAATACTGATCGGGTTATATGTCTGTCTTTCACACTTGAAACCGGTTCCAAACTGACTGAGCTCGGTTTTCAATGGTGATGAA